TTTTTTTTTTTTTTTTTTTTAGATTCTGTTGAATGGGAAACATTGTAATAACGTTGTTTCTTTTTTTTTTGCTTTGTTTTGTCAACAGTACCCGCCAGAGGATTTCGGCCAGGATTCTCCGCGCACTTACGCATCCCCGAAGCCAAATGTCTATGGCGACAACCACTACTTCGTTGGTGAGTCCTTCTTTTCATTTTTTGCAATGTTCCATTTCGTCAATTGTGAGGGGGGGGGGGGGTTCTGAATGTGACGGAGGATTCGCAGAGGTTGATGTTAAATTTCCAGCCATTATTAGCTTGCAGCAGAAGTTCACTCTCATCTGAATTTTAGCATCATTCCTGAAAGGCCTCTTTTCTCATTGGGTCTATAAAAGCAAAATATTTTTACAATAGAAAAAAAATTAAGGAAGGAAAATTGATGCATCGTGTCTTTGCCTTTGTTTGGAAGCAGTCGGCTTCGTAGAGATTATTTAGAATACAGTATTGTTGCTGTCAGTCCTAAAATATCTTGCCACATTCAGATGTCGAAAGGGAAAAGTTTAAACTTTAAGAATTTTTAAGGTTTGCTTTTTCCGCACCCTTTGCCATTTAGATTTCTTTAAAAAAATAATAATTGATGCGTTGAAGTTTGCAGTCGACTCTTCCTTTTTTTTTATGCCCCACTTACTAAATTGTAAAAGGATCTAGGTGCATACAATTTGAGTAGCTGAAAAAATTCGAGGATCTGACCGGCTTAGGCTTGTGGTATTTTTCAGTCATTTTTGCTATTTCTTCGTGTTTTTGTTTCATTTTGAATTTACAGTTTTGCTTGATTAACCGATGATTGACGTTATCTTTCACTCTCTTTTTGCGTTGGCTTGAAAATTATTTCAAGATGAAATTAATCGTTGAAAGAAGTGTCTGGCCAGGGGTTGACAGACATTTACTAAATTAAAAATTGGGTGTCCTGTAATGATTTTTATTTTTTTGAAAGATGGAGGTGGTGGAGGACCAGGAGGAGGCGATCCATGGACGACACATGGACCGCCGGGGTTGGCGCCGGCGCCTGCGACGTACGCCACTTCGGCGTACCCTCCGGCACAACCCTACCCTACCAC